GTCGTGGGCCGGGGGACGGGGGGACCGGGCTGGGGGCGGGTTGGGGGTTCCTGGGCCGGGGGGGAGGGGTTACCGGGCTGGGGGGCGGGTTGGGGGGACCTGGCACTGGGCCGGGGGGGAGGGGTTACCGGGCCGGGGAGAGGGTTGGGGGTTCCTGGCCCTGGGCCGGGGGGGGAGGGGTTACCGGGCCGGGGGGGCGGGTTGGGGGTTCCTGGCCCTGGGCCGGGGGCTGAGATTCTAGTCAGAGGGTCACCTGGCTGTGGGGCCCTGCCCCTGTGATATCGATGGCCCTCTCCCTGCAGCATGGGGTTCCCCAAGCCCTTTGCCCCACACACTGCCCCCCCCCCGGCAGGCACCTGCCTCTGCCCCCCATGCCCAGTGGTGACCCTGTGCTTGCCCCGTGCTCCCCAGCGCCAAAGGCTTCCAGCACCAGCGGATGACGAACGGCGCCATGAACGTGGAGATCGGGAACCCCACCTACAAGATGTACGAGGGGGAGCCGGAGGACGACGTGGGGGAGCTGCTGGACGCCGACTTCGCCCTGGACCCGGACAAGGTGAGGGTGGGGGCGGGGGACGGAGCCGACCCCAGGGGAACCCTGCAGCAGGGATGCCAGAGGAGAAGGGGGGACAGGGTGGGAGATCCTCCCCCTGTGGGGACCTTCTGTTCCCCCCTCTCCTCACCCTTCGCTCTCCCCCCCTCAGCCCACCAACTTTACCAACCCCGTCTACGCCACCCTCTACATGGGAGCCCACAACAGCCGGAACTCGCTGGCCAGCACGGACGAGAAGCGGGAGCTGCTGTCGCGGGGCACGGACGACGACCTGGCTGACCCGCTGGCATAGGGGGCAGGGATGGGGGGGGGTCGGGCAACCCCCTAGCACAGGGGGCAGAGACGGGGGAGGGGGCTGCGGTGCCGCCGGTTTGGAAAAGAAGCCAATTAAGAGACAAGCGGGGGGGGGCGGGGGGGCGACAGACACTGTATAAATGTACAAATGAAGGATTATTACTTTTATATGTGAGCAGTATTATTACTTGTCTATTCCCCGGGCCAGGCTCCCCCCCACCCCACCCCCCCGCGGGACGAGCCGGCATCTCGGAGCGGGCACAGCGAGGGGTTAAAGTGGGGGGGATACCCGGCTTGTCTCCATAGCGCTGGGGAGCTGGGTCCAAGGCTGTTGGGGGAATCCCCCCCCTTGGCTGGGGGGGGGTGCGTGGCAGCATTAACCCTGCGATCGCCCCCCCGGAGCTGCCAGCTCCTCGTTCTAGCTGCAGTTGAAACCTGCCGCGGTTGGGTCCCGGTGGGTTCGCCCCCCCCGGGGCACCTTGTCCAGCCCCCCCACCCCGAGCTATGAACAAATCAGTCTGGGGCCGAGGCCCTGGTGACTCGATCCCCCCCCCCCCAACACGTAGCCTGCTCCCCCACCTGCCAGCAGCTGCAGGGGGAGGAGCCAAATGGAGAGCTCCTCCCCCTTGTCCTCAGCCCCACCCCTCCCATCCCCATTGCAATCCTGTCCCACCAATCCGTTCCCTCGCTCCAACCTCACCAATCCCGCCCAGGCACCCATCCAACCAATCATCTTCTTTCCCGCCTCCTGCTCCCATCCCACCAATCACCTTCCTTCCCGCGCAGGCTCCCATCCAACCAGTCACCTGCCCCAGAGCACTGTCTAGGTGGGATCCCCTTTTCCCTCCCCGCCCCCGGCATTGATTCCTGGGGGGGGGGGGGTCGTGGCTCCTTTGGGGCTAGGGGTGTTTGGGGGCCTGCACCCCCGGGCCCCGCGGCTGGAGCTGGGGCCTCTGCCTGGGTCTCCCCTGCCGGGGCCGGGGGGTTCCTTTCCTTTGCGCCTAGCGCCATGTTTAGTGCATGCTCCTGTGGGCGAAGGGGGGCCCCGGGCACCGCGCCGGGCACCCCGCTCCCCAGGGGCTGCCGCCGGCCCGCCCAAGCTTCATCTCCACTCGTTTCTCCCACAGGCATTTTTTTTTAAACCGAATCAAATGACCTAGCTTTTCTAGTAGGGACGGGATACGCCTGTGGGGGGCGGGGCCCCCAGCCTTTGGCGGGGGGGCGCCTTTTCATAACTTTTGCTGGATTACTTTACAACTAAACACAGAGATTGTTATAAATAAAATTTTTAAAAACTGAGGCCTGGCTCCTGCTCCTTGGGGGGGAGGGGGGTTAATGATCCAGCGACTCAGGAGAACTGTTACGGCAGCGCCAAGCGGTTCCACCTGGGATTGGGGCCACGTTGTCCCAGCTGCTACGGACACAGGGTGACGGCCCCTGTCCCATCACATCAGAGCCCGGTCGTGCCAAGCCAGGACACGAGACAGCCCCCGCCCCGTCAGGCCAGAGCCCGGTCGTGCCGACCCCGGGCACGAGACAGCCCCCGCCCCGTCAGGCCAGAGCCCAGTCGTGCCGACCCCGGGCACAAGACGGCCACCGCCCCGTCAGGCCAGAGCCCAGTCGTGCCGACCCCGGGCAGGAGACGGCCCCCGCCCCGTCAGGCCAGAGCCCGGTCGTGCCGACCCCGGGCAGGAGCTGGCTGGGGAAAGGGAGGCCCAGACCCGGAGTCCCCGGGCGACGCTCGGGAACTGCTCCCTACGAAGCCGGTCAGGACTCTGGTGAAGTCTCCTCTCTGAGCAGACTGGCTCCAGGGCAAGACGCTCACACGGCTTTCACCTTCCCGGGTCTGACCTTGGAGCATTCAGCATCCCCGTCCCCCCGTGCGCTTCCCGCAGCGAGTCTGCACCGGCGGGGTCCTGGGGCAGCCAGAGGGCCCTGCCCCCCAACTCCGCAGCCAGACGCGACTCTCAGCCAGACGGTAACACAGAAGGGTTATTAGACGACAGGAACACGGTCCAAACAAAGCTTGTAGGTACAGAGAACAGGACCCCTCAGTCGGGTCCATCTTGGGGGCAGGGAGGCCAGAGCCCCGTCTGGGCCCCCTTCATTTCCCCAGCCAGCTCCAAACTGAAACTCGCCAGCCCCTCCTCTGCCTTTGTCTCTTTCCCGGGCCAGGAGACCACCTGATCCCTTTGTTCTCCGACACCTTCAGTTGGCCCCTTGCAGGGGAGGGGCCCAGGCTGCCAGGAGACAGGGTGTCGGCCATTCTTTCTGCAGACACCATCACCCCTGCCCTCTAGGTGTCACGGAGTCCCCGGGCGATGCTCTGGAACTGCTCCCCACAAAGCCAGTCAGGACTTTGGGGAGCCTCCTCTCCCTTGGAGCAGACTGTCTTCAGGGCAAGAAGCTCACACGGCTTCACCTCCTGGGTCTAACCTTGGAGCATTCAGCATATGCCCCTCCGTGCACTTCCCACAGCGAGTCCGCCCAGGCGGGGTCCTGGGGAAGTCAAAGGGTTCTGCACCCCCACTTCGCAGTCAGACGTGACTCTCAGCCAGCCAGTAAAACAGAGGTTTATTAGATGACAGGAACATGGTCTAAAAACAGAGCTTGTAGGTACAGCGAACAGGACCCCTCGGCCGGGTCCATTCCGGGGCCCAGCGAGGCAGACCCCCGTCTACCCTCCCTTCCAGTCCCCAGCTAGCTCCAAACTCCCACC